ACCAATCACAGTGTTTGCTATTCATGACAGTCCGCCATATTTTTGAGATCAGTGAGGATGACCACCCACGGTTGGTGACCCACGCCCACGATATTTGATGAACTTTAGACTTCACTAATGCTTTCGTTTCCCCAGGTGTATATAGCCAGGGGGAATTAGTACCCTCGCACGGCGCTTTGCGCCGTCGGCTCGGGGACAATACGTTATTTAAATGGTTTTTTGGGACACCCTGTATAATACTATTGTTATGGTATACATAATGTTATATTTCCATTGTTAATAGTATTATCAGTCCTTGGCTCTTGTGCATTATATTTATCCATTATTAATAGTGTTATTAACTGTGAGTCATTCCAGGTTATTACTCTAGAAATGACCATGTTTGACTTTGTGTCTAAGAATATTAGTGACAATCGCATAATAAATAGCTAAATGTGTGGAGGTAGCCCTTCGGGTCACATTATACACATATTGTCGGAGAAATAAGCTGTGGAATGACCCACAATTTCTTAATTTTTATTAGCTACTATTGTTTGGAGTGCTCAGAAAATGACCTGTTTCATTACAGAGAACTGTTTTCTTAATTTTAGATCATTCGAATATTGTTGTAACATATATGCACGCGATTCTTACAATAAAATACGATTATCATTGTTTGAAAATTATAATAGTGTTATGTTTCCATTATGGTGTTATTTAGTTTTGAATTATCCATGGATTATAAACAGATTTTGAACAACCTAACCCAAAGTTTTGGCCGAGAGGCAGCAATTTCCTTGCGTTAGTAACTTCTAGTCTAAAAAATAGAGTACATTTTACCATTTATTCCTAACATTTTTTCACGAAATACGACAAACTGACCAGTGTAAATTGAATATAACCGTTTAATGATCTATATTTTAGTTTTTTTCTAAGCTTTCCAATAATGTAGGTTACATTTGCCTAAAAATGATTTCAAAATTTGAATATTCTAGAAGTCCACAATGGTTTTCTATAGGTAGAAGTAAGAAATACTCGATTTTCACCATGTTCCACCAAAGGTATTTTTTGGGATTTTTAGTATGTTAATCAGGACACCTTCGCTCACATTTTACCACTGAGAAAAATTCTATTGCAATTTCTTTGACCTCTGGTCACAGATTGACTGGACTACAGGGCGGGTAAATTTGTACACTACAGAGCTTTGATATTTAGCCGACGTTTTATCTTTGTTTGAGAGGAATGAGTTGCTGTTAGTAGTTTTCCAATTAATGATGAAATTGCATTTTAATTTTAGTAGTGGGGTTATTCTATGTATTAATGTTACAAAGTTACCATTTACCATTGTAAATAGAGATAGACATTAGGAAAATTGCATATAGTTCAATTTTGTAAAATGTATTATTTTTCGTGTATTTTATATAATGTTATAATCATCTGAATCCTGTTATAATCATCTGAGTTCTGTAAAATCTCACTTTAAAATTAAATAGTAATAATGTAATATTAAAATGTAATATTTTTTGTGTATTTTATATTATAATCTTCTGAATTTTGTAAAATCACACCCCAAAATGCACTACATGGTGTTAAATATGTATAGGCTCTGAATTTCAAAATTTTCCCGAGGGGCATGCTCCCGGACCCTCCTATATTGTTTGTGCCTCCAGCGCTCAACTTGTCCCCCCCACTTTGTAAACCCTGGCTACGCCACTTGGTTAGATGTTGTAGACGGTTTGAATTGATCAATTAGTGTTAATGACAACTTTCGAGGGAAACCATTCCATGACAAAAACTTTTTGATGTGTTGTAGTTCATCTTTTAGGAGGTCTTAAGTATTGCAAATTTTATATGTGCAGAGGACAAGAGCTTGTATCCAGGCTACTTTTCTTGACCAAAGCAAGAAAGGCAGATATATGTTGGTATTGACCAGTGTGAGTAGGTTTTTTGTAGACAGAGGAATGTAGTAACAGAGGAATGAATTTGGATGTCAAGAAAATGGATGTCATTGTTATGAAATTGGTCAATAGTAAATTGAATGTTAGGATGAAAAGAGTTAAATTTAGATAGTATGTTGGTTAAGTCCAAGGGTTTAGTAAGAATAAGTGTGTCATCAATATATCGTTTATAGAATTTGATCATACCAGAGTATTAGTTTCTTAAGTGTTCGTTTTCTTAGTGTAGTGGTTCCGGCCGGTACTAATAAAAAAAGCATGGCCAAAACCTGAACTCTGTCATTTTCAGAGAGATAGAATATTAAACGTTTTTGTGTGGAACAAACGTTCACAGTAGGAAGAAATTGGGACCACACAAGAAAAATGTACACTAAAATTAACACTTCATTATGACGTTTTATGTTTGTCTGTCTTTTTATTCTAACATTTGTGAACTCTCTCCTTTGTGACTTGAACTGTCTGTCTGTCTGTCTGTCTGTCTGTCTGTCTGGCAGCAGACAAAGTAACCAATGACTATATATGGCTTAATAAATCTGTTCCAGTTCTGGCTGGTACTTCTAGCCTGAATGTTTTTCCAGTTCCGGCCAGATCCAGTTCTGGCCGGAACTTTAAAAATTGGTTTCGGTGCACCCCTAAAAGATTGTGTGAAATGTTATTAATTTGGGTTACTGCGTCAAAACTATATTGTAGTGTAAATTCATTAGTTGTTATGGTGTGTCGTTCAATGTATGGGAAAAGCCAAATGCAGATGGTAGGGCAAGTGGTGTCTATGATCGGACAAGTCTAATGGGCGGAGACAAAAAGATCTTACTGGAGAAGCTAGCACTGAAGCTAGATGGGATCATCACTTCAGCTACAAGTTGTGTAGTTATTAAGCTTTGGAAGGTACAGTATCCCAATATCCAGATTGAAAATAATGTTCTATTTGAAATGTACTATGTTAGACTCAGCCATCTTTCCATATTAAAACACAAGCACAGGGAACAACTGGACCAGTGAGGTTGCTGGTAATTGGGGCTACTTATGTACAGTGTATCTTTTTATACTAGTTAAGGTTTAAAATTGCACTAAAGAAAAGCTATTTTGCCTTGTTTTAATTATCTTTAACAGGATTTCAATCATATCTATAAACTACTAATTGTCCCTACAGATGAAGACATTGATGCCTATTTTTCCAAGGTAGAGAAAATTAATTTATTCTCAATATTTCACAACAACTTGACTAACATTTTGTGTAGGCTATTTCTTGGGTGACACTATTTTTAACACTTTCTGGAACACAAGAAGGGGCAAAATTATGAACACACACACAATCAAGTCCAATGCTTGTAAACACTATGAAAGCTCACACATGTAATACGAAATGCTCACAAAAGACATGCGAACCACGTGCAAATAAGCCGAACCTCTCACACACAAGTCGAAATGTCACACACAAAAAAGTCAAACTTTGTGGGGGGTTCGACAAATTAGCATGTTAATTTATATTATAAAATTTGCATACATTTCTGCACTTTGTTTATGGCGGGAGAATAGAATGCTGCGATTTCCAGTGTTTAACTACAAAGCACTCTTTTGGCTTGCATGTCTGGCTTGAATAAGGATACTTTACATCACATACAACAGCATGGGATAGGATAACTTTGCCTGTGACGGAAGATATAATTCTGGCATTGGTCCGCAGGATAGTAGGCAAGATCAGTAATTTGGTGCCAATGAAGATCATCATTTTTGCTTGCCTAGAGCTGAACAACAATGACATTCATGCCAACTCAGCATCGCCGTTGACGCTGTGAAACAGTGTACATGGTCCTGTTATCACTTCATTGACTTTGTGTACAAGTTCAAGTTCAATACAAGCATCCTAGTACAAGGAAACAGCACAAAAGAGCAATTTAAACTATGGCTTGCAACGAAGATCTGGCCCCTGGACCAATGAGACAACGTGGTCCGGTGGTCTTGTATTAGAGACCTTACGATTTTAGGACGGCAATGTGACAGCCAAAACCAACTCCTTCAAATAAATGGTAGTAAAGATAGTTTGTGGTATATTATCAATCGTATGAATTTAATACAGTTTTAGATGTTGAAGACATGGGTTTTATAGTTGGGAAGAGTTCTGCTAAACCCAGTTTGAAGTTGCACTTGTTGAGTCTTGGAATGCAGCCATTGTATCGAGACGTGAAAATCTGTGATTTGGTGTTGTAAACAGAGAAACAGAGCGAGGAGAAGTCTAAATTATTCATATATTGTAATTACTCGTATCTTGTAATTACTCAATTCTTTTCAATGATCTGTTGTATTAGTAGCCGTTGCCGTCCTAAAATCGTAAGGTCTCTATTAGTACTCTACGCCGTGCAAATATTGTTAATCACGCCAATACAGCTAAAACCTCTTCTGAAAAGAACGAATATTTCCGGAAAATGTTTTTGCCTGCTTCCTCCAAGGGGTGAATATGAAGTCGACCTGCAAAGACTACACAAAGTCGAGGAAGTAACAACAGGACCATTTACACTGTTTCCCGGCGTCAACGTTTCCCGTTGTCAGCTCTAGTTCTCGACAAGCTTCAGTGGCACCAAATTGCTGATCTTGCCTGGGCCTATTATCTGGGACAAATAGTTCGCCAACTATCCCCCGGACCAACGACTGAATTCTATTTTCCGTCACATGCAAGTTATTCTCTTCCATGCTAAGCCAAACATGTGAGCCAAAAGAGTGCTTTGTAGTTAAAATGCTGGAAATCGCAACATTCTATTCTCCCGCCATAAACAAAGTACGGAAATGTATGCAATTTTTTTCGTCCTAAATAAATTAACATGCTAATTTGCCGAACCCCCCAGAAAAAAGTTCAACTTTTTTGTATGTGACATTTCGGCTTGTGTGTGTGAGGTTCGTGTTGTGTGCGACATTTCGACTTGTGTGTGAGAGGTTCGGCTTATTTGCACATGATTCGAATGTTTTTTTGTGAGCATTTCGTATTACATGTGTGAGCTTTCATAGTGTTTACAAGCATTGGACTTAATTGTGTGTGTGTTCATAATTTTGTCCCTTTTGGACGCCCATAGTATGGCAAACATCCATGCTATGGTATATCATGTCCCACGCTTCATGAAGATCCACAGTGGAATAAGGAAGTTTTCTGGACAAGGTGAATAGTTATATTTATAAAATTTGATTAAACAGTAATATTATAATTAACCCAATAAGTTGAGAAGTGTGGAAACAGAGTTTTCCCCCTCAATAGCTTAGCTATATTGGGTTACCATGGTCATCAAACCTACTGTAATATTCCTTGTCAGTGTAATAAATAATATATGTTATCAATATATATAAATTTTAACATTACCATATAGGTGTTGAGAAACTGAATGATGATTGCTGGAGAACCCATCTGGAAAAGTCAAATAAGTGGGATGCTGCCAAGGATGTATTAATGGCTGAGGAACGACTTGGGGTTTTGAGTGAGTTACAACGAACACCCAGAACATACAAAAAGAAGGCTGATAAGTACTGGGCAACTGGTATTATGGACAGTCGTAAAAAAGCGTCCTTGACCATGCAATCAGGAAAAAGTCAATGATGGCATAGAGGATATTTGCACCATATTTCCAAGCAAGAAATCATACAAGGCTGTTGGATATGTATCATGTTGTTTTACAATCACAGCCACATTAACTCTTTCGTTCCTGAATTTAAAATAACAAACTAACAAAAGTTGACCACGCTTTGTTTCAGTTCTCTTGTAAAATATTTTACAGCACTTATAATTTGGAAAGAACAGTAAACTATATAATAATGTAAATATATTGGTTATTATGCACCTATCGATGTTAACAGGTTGGAAGGACTGTTAAGGGAGCATTTGATTATTAATTCAAGTTTTCAATGAAATCAAATTATGGATGCACTTGGGAAGTTATGGTATATGCACTTGCCAAATGGATAACATCTCAGCCAGCTTGTACAGTATTTAATAATACCACATTGATTCATAGATTGTATATGTCACATGCTCTCTTTAAAAATGTTAATGAAATTTTTCAATTGGCATCCTAGGTGCTTTTTCTAACTTGCCATTTGTAAAAATGTATCTGGATGGAGTCCAGGAAACCATTGGTTTTGCCTTGCTAGGGAAGTCGATTGCCATGCCTTCCCCACGCTGATTGAGGTAATAATGCTAATCGCAAGGTAAAGCCTCGAATCGATCGAAGTCTTGTTTTTCATACATCGTATAACCCTTGTGCTGTGACGCAGTACCCCGGTTGTCTGTTATATAATGCCACACATCTAGCTCCACATTAATGTAAACACTTGCAAAAGGCTTTCCTTTTAGACTGTTTGAATACCATTCAGGAAATCACGACTTTCCATTTCAATCCTTACACAAGCTGGTTCCGGTGGTGTGTTATATCAAGCGAATAACACAATAAGAATCAGAGTGATATTGTGAATTCTGTTATAACCTGTGAATTAGTGAAGTATACATTCATTACAATGACTACATTAATACTGATTTGTTCCTCCTAAGCATATTGCTGTATAAACTATGTAACTCAACATAATCAAGTGATGTAACATAAAAGTGTATTCGTATAAAGTATTACTATGAAAGATCTTAGAAAAAAAACTGAGGGAATTGTTGCCTCAAGAGATCTGGTGTTAGATTCTGAGAGTTTCTCCCATAAAAGGGTATTCATGTCCCTGTTATTAAAAGATAGAAAGGTAGCATTAACTTACCGATTTCCAGCTTAAGGCATATAAATAGATTATTAGAGCAGTATTATAGTGATATTCACATAATTTACAAACTTGTTTCAATACTTTTAAGTATTAAAATACATACGTTACTTACGTGTGGTATATTTCTCCGTATGACGATCCTCTCAACTTCCCAAAATCATCCACGTTTTCTTTTTGGTATGGTGTCGTACAAAGTTGCGGATGATAAACAATTTAACTGCTAAAACTAACAGACAGACCAGAGCTTCACTTTGTCGGCGATGCCATTTTGAATGATTTTTATAATTTTTCGCGGTTAGCCGCTGTACTAATATCAGCTACTATTAGCTGATATTAGTAAATGTCTTGAATTTCTGGTGATGGAAGCTTCAGATTTCTCATTTGCTTTACCAGGGCATATATGCTTCATCATCTTGATCATGAATATCTACTCCTTTATGCTATTTAAAGAAGCACTTGCCATTAGATGCCTTAAACCTGAACTTGATCACAGAACTAAAGCATCAAAAGAACTTATAATATTTAACTAATCGTTTCTGTACATGTCAAATTACTAATTTTCACTATATATATATATATATAAATATATATCGACGTAATGTAACCTAGCATCATTCCTGATGATGACTGAATCTGAGTCGAAAGCTACAATGATTAAAATGTCTTTTTTCAGAGTTACCATCGTTTTAAAGTGCCTATATCCAAGCCCGTAGCTGGCTCTCAATTTCTAGGGGGCACTGCAGAAAGAATGTAACAGAGGGTTTGAGATGAGAAAAATTTTTCCTACCAAATTTTTCCGAAACCTAACAAAATTTTTCAAAACATCACAAAATTAACCACAAAATTAACCACAAAATTTGGCCCATGATTACAATTAGTTTCTAGGTCCTTTATCTCAATTTTTAATACCAAATTTCGGAGTGGGGGGCACTGGGGCTCAATATAGCCAATATTGGCAGAAGAAAGAGGAGAATATTGTATGTATGCATTTTAATACCCTTCTGTAATACGATCTTTCATTTGGAATTGCGCAAAGGTCAAACTGTAAGATACTATAGTTAGTATAGTGTCTACAAGGACATTGTAAATTTGAAGCAGAAACCTAATGTTGAAAGATACTTTGTTTAGATATTCGGTATATATATAAACCTCCAATGATATAAGCACTCGTGAATCAAGCAAATGAACTGGTAGTAAATATATTTATACCAATAGGAAAGGTCTTCACAAATCTTGTTTATATTCGCCATTATATACAGTAGAATACACAATCGAGTCTGTTCACAAGCATTTCGTGAGCTAAAATATCTTGTTAGAAGCCGGAAATATTCTACCCAAATCAAAATGGCCTTCCTACGATTCACTCGATTGACGTTGGTCAACTTCCATATATACATAACTAAGATAAATAGAATAAATCTCGACAGAACTGCTGAATAATTTACGGTATTTAGTGGTCATGCTTTCGAAGATGAGCATGACAAGAATAGAAAATTCGGCAAGATACACATGTGTGAGGAGCAATTAAGCCAATAGAATGCGTTGGAATTTATAATTTAGTCGTGTTCGCCTGACGAGAGCACGACTAATGGGCGGATTACCCGTTAGTCGTGCTATTAACCCGCGGTCGGGTGAAACTACACAATCCTACTTGAATTGGTTTAAAATTAGAGCACAAATCACCGGATTTGAAAGGATTTCGCACTTAATAGATGACACAAGTGTACCATAAATCATTTTTAAAGTTTGGTGGGAATTTGTTTTAAGACTAAAAAAATAATTTTCTTTGAAAAATAATTAGTCGTGCCCAGCACGACCTCTAGCTTCGCCACTGAGTATGGTGGCCCAAAACTGCCATTGATTTTTTTGATAAATTAATTATTTTCATCAATTTACTTTTTAAAATTATTGTTTTTTTTATGTATTTAGTCTTACTTTACTTTTATTTATTTTTTAATTTTAATTACTTTTCTTTTTATTTCCTAAACAAAGCTCGATTTGTTTTAAAAAAATTTTAAAAATGTATCTCACCACGAGCCCAAAACTGCCATAGTATACCACAATGCGTTGCGTGCATGTACTAATTTATTCATACGAATTTATTTTAAATTATTCGCGCATTCACGCGGGAAAGTTAAATCCAACATGGCGTACATGAGGAATCCAGACTGGAAAGACTGAAAGATAGTTTGGAAGGATACAGTAGGCAAGGACTCCAGAGACAAGAAATTCTAAGTTTTATGAAGAAGGACTTCAGCCATTATGCTTGGTCTTTGCGAACACTGGACAGAAGAATGCGATGGTTTGATATATATCGAACGGATAGAACAGTGACTGAAGAAGCATTGAGAACCGCTGTAAAACAGGAATTGGACGGGCCAGGAAAGCTTCTTGGATATCGCGCTATGACAAATAAAGTAAGACAAGAGCACAATCTGAAAGTTCCTCGAAGAATCGTACATGCGATGATGTATGATCTTAATCCTGAAGGTCTTGAGCAAAGAGCGTTGGAAAACAGGAAAAAAAACCGTGTTAAAGGAAGGTTTACCACAGCTGGTCCGAATTGGGTCCTCTCTTTAGATGGTCATTGCAAGCTCATG